TAAAGTTATATATATGGGCGAATCAGCCCTTAAATCTATAAACAAAGAACTTTGGATCAAATAGTCCGTTTTGAATTATTTTATCACCAAGTTGATCATCTCTATGAGATGATTCCAATGAACCTAAAATCAATAAAATTCGATCACAGGATTATGAGATCGTTAAAGATCTGTGTTTCATTGGCATTCTTGGATAGATAAACCACACCAAAAACACACGATGAAACACAAATCTTTAACGATCTCATAATCCTGTGACTGATTTTATCAATTTTAGGTTCGTTGGAATCATCTTATAAAGATGATCCAAAATTGATTAAAAGTTACACACCGTTTAAATTATGTACGTATATCGATATTGATTAGTGATTCTGTAAATCCACCTATATAGTAAGTATTCTGGTTTGTGTAATATAGATACAGTTATCTTATTTAATCAATTACATATTTAATAATCATATACGATTGATAGTATTTATAAAGATTTTCTTATATGTTTGAAACTAAAATAAAATTCTAGTTTTATTTATTTGTACGCATTAGAATTATTTATAAATATGGATACGTATAAACTATCTTATCATTAAATATTAAATTAAATAAGAAATAATTAAATTAAAATTATTAAATACTTTATGGGGTGTGCTAGGTCCTAATGAATTTAATCATTATAGTTATTTACCTTGGCATTTGGCAGTATGATTATCCATTAGATATATATACGTATATTGACGTTGTTAGTGTAAAAATTTTCTTGTCACATCCCTGGCGCCTGGCATGTGGGTTTACCCAAGTGTTAGTTGATCTTGTCGCTCTATCTAGCTGATCTTGTTATGCAACTCCAGATAGACCTTAATTTTCTTTTAGTTCCTAGATAAGCTTGTGAGATTCCCTTCTTCATGAGAGGAGTAACATTAGAATAGAGTACTATTGGAATTAAAATGTTTATGATGGTGTGAATCATAGAAAAATAACTTGTATTTATAGGCATTGTGTTTTCCCAGCTAAAGACTTTTTTTTTAGACTTCGATTTAGATAGATTCGATTTCTCCTTGAGTAGTATTTTAGTTGTTTGATTAGTCTTATTTATTAGTTTATTCATCTTTTATTATTTCTTTTTTTTATTTGTCTCTTTGTTTTATTTATTTATTTATTTTTCGGTATTTGTTATACTCCGTTTCTATTTCATACCTTTATTCATTATCTATATATTTTTATCTAATAAGCTAGTATTATCTTCTACCTGTAATCATTTAAAGTATACCACGTATATATTTAAATTGCATTGCACATACAATTAACTGTATCATCTATCCTAATATATCCAATTCATAATTGTTAACTCCTGCCCAATTATCTCTAATTTATATAACAATTACCCTTCCAGATTTATCTTATAATATACTCTTAAACTATACATTGCATTATCTCACCCATTACATCACACATATTGTTAACTCCATAATCTTTCTACCAGTTACTATCAAAGCTAATTAGGCCTTATAGTCAATTCGCTCTCCCACTTGGTAGTAACAACATTTTTTTAAATATATATATATAATTTTTATACACATTTAAAGTTTTTAAAATTTTAAAAATGTCTGAGAATTTAAATAGCCCTACTAATACACTTGAAGAGTGTAGTGATGAAGATGATTTAAATAATCAAATTTATGCAGAAAATGAAAGTGATCATGATGAACTTAGTTTTGAGCTTGAATATAATATGGAAAGTGAAACTCTTGAAGAAGCTGAAGGTGTAAGGTTAGTAATAGGTTTTATTTTAAAATTTAAAATTTAATTTAATAATTTTATAATACTTAATTTATCTTATTAAGATAAATTAAATATTATAAAAACAATAGAGAATATGTTTAGAGAAATCTGATTGTATTAAAAATTTGTTTTATTAAAGCAAATAATGAGTTAAAATATACTATTATATAGCATATATTAGCCAATAATTTGGTTTAATAAAACAAATTAATTATTATATGAACAATATTTTATATTTAATTTTTTGTAATAAGATAAGCCATATTTTTTAATTTAAATATATATTAATTTTTTTAATTTTATTTTTATTAGTATGGAAGAAATAATTGAAGAAAATATAAATAAAGATTCAAGATTAGTTCAATCAAAAACTTCAAGTAATATTTATAAATCTGATGTTTGGGATTATGTTAATGAAGAAACTCGTAAATGTTCTAGATGTCCAAAAATATTTGCACCAACTACAGCTACTACTTCTATTCGTAGTCATTTAAAACAACATAACATATCATTTGATAAATCAAAGCAAACTACTTTGGATATTATAATTAAAAAGCATTCACCAAAGATTCAAGCTGAGAAAACCCAGGCTATAATTGAGTGGATTGTATTAGAACTTAAATCATTTAATATTGTAGAAAAAAGTGCTTTTTTTAATATGATTAATAAATTAGATCCATCATATGAAATTCCTACTAGAAATACTATTAAAAATTCAATTATTACACAATTTAATCAGCAAAGAAATTTAGTAAAAAATTATTTAGCTAAAATTTCAAATAATATTGCTTTAACAGTTGATATTTGGACATCTATTAAAATGGAAAGCTTTTTAGGAATTACAGTTCATTTTATTGATGATAATTGGATTTTGCAACATTTTGTTTTGGATATATTTAGATTTAAAGAATCACATACAGGAGAATTAATTGCTAATAAAATTTATGAAATAGTTAAAGAATTTGGATTAGAATCTAAAATAATTTCATTAACTACTGATAATGGATCTAACATGATTTCTGGAGCAGGATATTTACAGGATAAATTAAATTTAGATGAATTTGCTCATTACAGATGTATAGCACATATACTTAATTTAATAGTTTCAGCAGGATTAAAGGTTTTAGAAAGTTCTATTAAAAATTTAAGAAAATTAATTAAAACAATTCGTAAATCAACAAAATTTCTTGAAGATTTAAAAAATATTGTAGCTTTAGATAAAAAAACCTTTTTAGCACCAATTTTAGATTGCAAAACTAGATGGAATTCAACATATCAAATGATTAGTAGAGCATGTAATCTTAAAGAATATATTGAAATGTTATTAGTAAAACATCCAAGTTTAAAAAATTATTGGCCAAATGAAGAAGATTGGAATATATTTAAACAGTTAATTCAATTATTAGCACAATTTAATGATGCTACTATTGAACTTTCTTCACAGAAATATCCTACAATAGCATATGCACAAATAATTTTATTATCAATTAGAAATGAATTAGAATCTAATCAAAATAATGAATACCCTTTAACAATAGTTATTGAAGAAATGTTATCTAAATTTATTGAATATTATAATACAATAGTAGGATCTTTTCATATTGCAGCTTTTTTAGATCCTAGATATAAAAAATACTGTTTTCCAAATATGGATAATAATGAAATTTTAGGTCCAATTAGAGAAAAATTAGAACAACAACCATCTTTACCAGCACAACCATCTAAAAAATCTTCAAGTTTTTATCAAAAATTAAAAAGTACATCTCAAAATCTACAATTAACAGATGATGAAGTTTATAAATATTGGGCATTTGCTGAAGCTGATGAAAATATTAATCTTTTAGAATGGTGGAGAATATATACAACAGAATATTCCACTCTTTCAAAACTTGCTCAAAATTTTTTATGTATACAAGCTACTTCAGTACCATGTGAACAACTTTTTTCAATTGCAGGTCAAGTATTATGTAAATCAAGGAATAGATTAAGTGGTGATTCAGTAAGAGCATGTTTATGTTTACGTAGTTGGTTATTAGAAAATATTAAATAATTTTAATTTTTATAGTATAAATTAAAATTATAATATATATTATTAACTAAATTTTATAAATATTACTAGGTTTTTTTTCCCATTGGGTTTTTTTCTTAACAAATATCTAAATTTTATATTTTATAACATATATTATTAAAATTTTATTTATTTATTTCAATTTTATTTATTTTATTATATTTTATTTATTATAAATCAATAAATTTATTAAGGGAATTGATATTTCCACACCCTTTTTTGATAATGCCACATCCATGTAGATTATTAATTTTTATAATTTTTTATACAATTGATCGAAGATAGCTCGGCACTCACCTGACCAAATTCGATCAAGTTTTTTTTATTTTAATTGTAAAAAGCTATAGAATTTGAAGGAAAAAAGTTGATTGAATTTAGTCAGGTGGGTGCTGAGATATCTTCGATCAAAGTTTTTGTAAAATTCTAAACATCTAACAAATATAAGCTGTAGCAAAAATTGTTTTCAAACTTGATCGAGAATATCTCGGCACCCACCTGACCAAATTTGATCAACTTTTTTTTATTTTAATCATAGAAAGCTATAGAATTCAAAGAAAAAAAAGTTGATCGAATTTGGTTAGGTGGATGCCGAGATATCTTTGATCAAAGTTTTGTAAAATTCTAAACGTCTATCAGATATAAGCTGCGGCAAAAATTGTTTTCAAACTTTGATCGAAGATATCTCGGCACTCACCTGACCAAATTCGATTATCTTTTTTTTATTTTAATTACAGAAAGCTATAGAATTCAAAAAAAAAAAATTGATCGAATTTGGTTAGGTGAGTGTCGAGATATCTTCGATCAAAGATTTTGTAAAATTTTAAACGTCTATTAAATATAAGCTGCGGCAAAAATTGTTTTCAAACTTTGATAGAAGATATCTCGGCACCCACCTGACCAAATTCGATCAATTTTTTTTTATTTTAATTTCAGAAAGCTATAGAATTCAAAGAAAAAAGATGATCGAATTTGGTTAGGTGAGTGCTGAGATATCTTCGATCAAAGATATTTTATTAAACAAACTAGCTTTTGACTTCTAATAAATATTATAGAAGACATTTCTAGAACTCTAATACTGAAAATTTTTTTTCAAATATTCTTGTTATTTCTTTATATTTTTTGTAAAAACTCCATAAATCTGCAACATGATTGACAAAATCTAGATAGACCAAATAATCTTCATGATTTAAGGTTATAAATACCAATATTTATAAACAAAACACAGAATATAAAACACAGTAGCTTTTTTTATAGGGTAA